TGTATCTGGAGACATCAAGAAGCTGGTGTGTGCCATTTGAACCACTTTAATTTGAAGCAATAGTAGATAAACAGATTATGTTACCATTCGAATTTGGTTCTTAAGGATCAGCAATAACAGGTTCAGGCCATTTTTCAGGATAAGGCAACCAGTCGGGTCCAGAAAACCATAATCTTGATTCGATGAATTGATTTGCTGTACAACCTCTTGATGGCAAGTCAACTGGATATCTTCTGACCTGACATGATTCCATTTTCTGACATCTGACAAACGTTGAATCTCATCAAGACGACTTACAAAAACGTCCATCAACGATCGAGATAATCTACAACCAATCACCATAGCAACCCGTTCCCATCTTGGAACGGTGTATTGACGTTTCGAAGATGCGGTTTTGAACTTGGAGGCAATCAAGCAGACCTTATGTTTTTGACGGAGATACAGTACACTCGCAGCCGCAACACTTGGACTTGCATCACAGAACGTGTGTAGCTGTATGGGTTTATCTTTATCGAGGTCGACGAATCTTTGAATTCGTATTGTTGATGCTGCTTCGATGTTAAACGCAATATCATGGTACTCAAGACGGAGATGAGCAGGAAAAGGTGTATCTCACTCATAATTCTGCTTCCAAAGTTCTGAGATGAAATTCTTCGCTCTGACAGTTACTGGAGACAGGAATTCCAATGGATCAAACGCCGAGGAGGCCGAAGTTAAAGTTGAACGTTTGGTAAACTTATCTTGTGAAAATTGTTTTCTTCGGGAATGAAATGGTATTTTCGTGATGATTCCATACCATACCAAGTGATGTATAGTTTGCTTTTCAGATCTGCTGCAACCTGTGGTTTGAAATTGTCTGGATCCGCTACCTGCTTAGTATGTAGTATAGTATAGAAGTATATCTGTAGACTTTAATTGGTTTGGATGGATCTAGTAGTATATGAAGTTTCCGATATACAGCGCGTCATATCCAGAAGGTCTAGAGCTTTCTGATATACAGTCAAAAGCACTTTTTTGCGTCATATCCAGAAGGTCTAGAGCTTTCCGATATACAGTAAAAAAGCACTTTTTGCGTCATATCAGAAGGTCTAGAGCTTTCAGATATACAGTATTTTTTGTGATATATCGTCTTTTTTCGGATATGGCGCACTGTATATCCATAAACTCATATACTACTTGTATTATCCATATAAATTATCAAAAAACCACACTAATATAACACTTCAGATATCAAGCACAATTGAGCATGTTTTCTCTACATGCGTATTTTTCAGATATGAAGACTTCTGAGAATACGCAGTTTTTCAGATATAACGCATTTTTGAGTATTTTTTTCAATATCTGAAAAAGATACAACTACTTTATCATTGCAAAAAAAAAACAAGTTTATCTCATAATGATTATTTCATTCGACTTTTTGAAGGTAAAAGTCAATAAAATAGTCTTTATTGGAGAAATCTAGCATTTTCCACGAATCTCTCCAAAAATGTATTACATAAGTCAATCTTTTGATATCATAAAGCGTTTTTCCACATGAATTGAAAAAAATACCCCTGTTAAAAGAAATGTTTTTAAGGATTAGATTCAATAACAAAATTTATACTTAAAAAAAAATATGGATAGCATTGAAATTATAGACGATGAAACATTCATGGAAAATGTTCTATTTTCCGATGTTATCAAGGCTATTGTCACCACATTTAAAACATTCAAAGGACAAATTAAAATAGATGGAGAGATATTCGAGGAAGGGAATCAAAGACAATACATGTCACTCCTCGCTTTCAATGCCAAAACTTTTCAAAACATCTTTTCAAATATGGACGAAAAATCCGATGCTTCCGATTGGTATTTTACAGGAAAAATAATTTTAGTGAAAGATAATTTCCAAGAAATAAAAAGATCGAGAGTTGGTAGAGGGTGAAAATTGTTACATACCTACAGATGGACAATGTTTTATCAAATGCGTTAATCGTGTTTTGAACAAAGATTAAACGTGTGAATTTAAAAACTTCATTAAAAAAGGAGTGATGACAGTTGCTAGAATTAAGGAATTCAATAAGAAATGCGAAACTTCATTTCAAATATATATTCCCAAAAGCAGAAATGTACATCCCAGAGACGTTCACGATGAATTAGATTGGGTTTTTTACTTACACAACTCGCATTTCTGTCTCATAAGAAGAATTGAAAAAAATTTGGGAATTCAAGAAATAAAAGACAAATATGAACAGGTGTGGAAAACGTGCAGTGACGCAGCAACACAGGTTTTGAAACTAACCTTTTTTTCAAGTATGAGTAATGATTCGTTATTCGCTTGGGATTGCGAAACGTATACAGAAAGTGAAACTCGTAAAGCAATTCCATATTGTTGCACTTTGGTCAATTTGGAAAAACTAAGAAAAATGTTAAACAGAATAAATAATCTATTTCCAGATTTAAAGCCTACAGATCCCATTCCAGAAGAATTTTACAACAAACTCATGACTAATATAAACTAGTGTCCAAAAGAAACGATACCACCTGTTTGCAACGACATAAAAGAAAAACTAAACAATGCAGAAGTTTAGGATTGGTGTTATGCTTTTGAGAAATCCTTTCACAGCATCTGTACAAAAATTTCATTTCAATAAAATCTGTACAACCAATATGACAAGCCTTTAAAGATGGGTGGGGTCGAAAAAAGAACATTTCGTTAGAGCACTGATCACAGAAACAACGGGAAATGTCACACCACACGTCACAAAGTCAAGTCAGTAGCGGGTATGTCCACCGTGAGCATCAATACATGCCAGAACACGCCTACGGACTGATGACGTCAAACGTCTGATGACGTTGGGAGTGATGCGTTGCCATTCCTCGAGGAGACATCGTTCCAAGTCCTGGACGTTGACTGGAGGCACACGGCGACGTCGGATTTGCCGATCGAGGTGGTCCCATAAGTGCTCGATGGGATTCATGTCAGGTGAACATGCGGGCCATGGCAAAACCTGTACGTTGGCGTTGGCAAGGAAGGTTTGTGTCAATCTTGCTGTGTGTGGCCTTGTATTGTCATGTTGGAAAAGGAGTCCACGAGGCTGTTGCTGAATAAAGGGCACCACAACAGGCCGTAGGATGTTATCAATATAACGCTGTGCATTCAGGTTTCCACGAATTACGACAAGCCTCGTTTTGACGTCACCACATATGCCACCCCAAACCATTAACCCTCCACCTCCAAACGGCCGGACCTGTTGGATACAGTTAGGCGCCAAACGTTCACCAAATCGTCGGTATACAAGCTGCCGTCCATAGTTTTTGAAGATGAGGAATCTGCTCTCATCAACACGTGCCCAGTCCCGCCGTTGCCAACGTCGAACTCGCCTGGCCCAGATCAGTCTGTTGTTCCGGTGTCGAGTCGTCAGGAGCGGTCCGGGCCGGATACCATACTGCCGTAGTCTCCTGTAGACGGTCTGTCGACTGATCCTTTGTCCCAGTGCTGTAGCCGCCGTGGACGTCGCTGTTACGGTGCGGTTCCTCAGGTGTAATACCCGGATGTAACGATCTTCACGGGGCGTGGTTACTCGTGGTCTTCCACTCCTGGGCCTGTCTGACGTCTGACCTGTCTGACGTAACCGCTACATCAACCTGGTGATAGTGATGCGTGCGCAGTCCAACCTTCTGGCGACGTCGACGTGTGTCGCTCCTTGTTGGACCATTCCAACGGCTCTCTCTCTCGATGGCTGTCAAACGTGGCATATCTTGTGTTCTTTTTGTTGCTGTGATATCAACGTGTCTGATCAGCCGTTTTATACAGTTTTTATGCACGTGCAGAACATGCTAGAGAGGGAAAAGTCACTTTCACGAAATTTACGTTTTCTCCCGGAAGTGATCACGTGTTCCCGGTATTTTTATCGACTATGCTGTGTTTGGGATGTGCAATACGAATTGGCATGTTTTCATATTAGACAATTCACTTAGTAAAAAACAATTTTGAAAATAAGTTGCTATCGTTTCTTTTGGACACTAGTTTTAGTAGAAATATTTGTGGGTCTAGACTGTATAGATCAAATGTTGAAACATTTAGGTAAATATGATAAAAAGAGATTAACATTAATCTCTCATAACGGTAGTGGTTTTGATAACTGGATCATAATCAAAAACGTAAAAAAACTATCTCAATGTCCGTTAGTAACACTCAGAGGTATTCTGTCTTTACCTTTATCTAATCCTTTTACCGATAAAGACTTACAGAAAAAATGGAAAAGACAAAGAAATAACGGGAAACTGTAATTATTTGCAACATATCAATTTCACGTGTTCCTACCAACACGAATACTCTAGTTTAGCGACATGGGGAAATTCATCTAATCTTCCTGCGAATCTGAGAAAGATCACCGGCGTTGATATCGCTAAATACACCCAAGACAACTGGGAGGAACTGATAGACGAATGGGAACCCTATGTCTCGGAGCATGTTTGATAAAATACAACAAAGTCATGAAAGACGTCGTATTCCAGAATGTTTCTAATAATCTAACAGCTCCCTCCCTATCTTTAAAGGGCTGGTATTATTTGTATCACTACGATAAAGAAATGGTTGAAGAAGAATGGTATGAAACTACTAGAATGGTTCCTAAACATACGGAAAAAAAAACATAGAAAGAGTTTACTCTCACATTAACCCTTTTATAAGACATTTTATCAGACAATCTATTAAAGGAGGAAGAGTTTCTGCAAATAGAAAATCATTTGAAACGAATAAAATAAACGAAATTTGCAATATATTAAAGGAATATCCTCAATATATTCAATCTTTAAGGTTTCATTCAAACTCATCGTTGTAAAGATAGTTTTCATTAATCTCTTCTTCCATAGTAAAATAGTCGAAATCATCAAATTCGTAGTTTTCATCCAAACTATACTCATGTTTACCGTTGTAAGGATACATGATTCCTTCACTGTTTGGTGTCTTTCTCTTTACTAGATTCAAATAACTTCTAAAAACTTTCTTTTGTTTATCATTTGGAATAACCACACCATTGGTTAAACTTTTTTGGTTCATTAAATTCATTCGATATATCATATCCACTAGCCAATCGAATGTAATCGTCTACGGTTATCTTATTATTAGAATAACATTTAAACGTTTTCTTTTCTTTCAAAACACCATCGGACGTCAAAATGATATTGTATTTGACTTTTGGTGCCAAATATAAACCAAATATGATTCCACCGTCACCGTAATCGTTCTTTCCTTTGCAATATTCATTTTCAGAGACCAAACCAGCTTTAGTTAATTTATCCCAATTGTTAGACGAAATGTATAGACTATCGGTATCGGTATAGTATATTTCCGGTTTATAAAACCCATCTATAACGTGAATGAAATTGTTCATTATTCTTTTACTGTGAGATAATACGAATGATCCCAAATGACTTGGGGTTAGTCGCATAGTAGATATAGATTCAGATATTTCTTTTTCTTCTTCTTCTATCTCAACGATGTATTGAGAATCATTTATTTTCTCGTAGGTTTTGACGTGTGTATCGAAATTGGATTTTAAAGTTGTTGCACTCCATAGAAGTTTCGTCGTGGTTATATCCTTCTGAATTGATTTACCGTACAAGGAATTACCTAATAATTTCATGCAATTACTAACCACAATATTACCTTCTCGTTTATATTTGTTTCTTAGATCTCTCAAAATTAAAAGGTATTCTCTATAGGGAGGAGTCTTAAAGTTTTCTTCGTAAACTATTCCATCTAATATTCTAATAATTCTTCCACCTGCTTTCACTATTTCTTGAATATCGACCGATGTTAAAACGTCATCGCATAAACCATTTCTGAACCTGTTCGTAAAACTGATTTTATCTTTAGCTGGTATCGGTTGGAAGAACATGTTTTGGGGATATTTAAACCGTACTTTTAAAATAGCGGTTCTAGGTCTGAATTTCTGTTTATTGAAGAGATTTATAAATTCTTTTTCTTCTAATAAAAATGCTCTAGCACTTTCCGCTTTGGGATATTCGCAGTCTAAGTCAGACCATGGCGGAGGCGTATAATCCGTTAGCATCAAACGCCATCAGTTTAGTACAGTTTATTTTTTATTAAGTCTCGAATTAACCTCCGTTTTATCTTTCGTGCATGAGACGTATTCTTTGAATAAATCGATTATGTTGTTCCTTTTGAGTTCTGTAAATTCCTTTAATATATTGCAAATTTCGTTTATTTTATTCGTTTCAAATGATTTTCTATTTGCAGAAACTCTTCCTCTATAATAGATTGTGTTAGTGTGGGAGTTAACTCTTTCTATGTTTTCTTTTTCCGTATGTTTAGGAACCATTCTAGTAGTTTCATACCATTCTTCTTCAACCATTTCTTTATCGTAGTGATACAAATAATACCAGCCCTTTAAAGATAGGGAGGGAGCCGGCTTTCACTATTTCTTGAATATCGACCGATGTTAAAAACGTCATCGTATAAACCATTTCTGAACCTGTTCGTAAAACTGATTTTATCTTTAGCTGGTATCGGTTGGAAGAACATGTTTTTTTGGCTCTTGGATGTAAATTTCTGCTTTTGGGAATATAAATTTTAAATGAAGTTTCGCATTTCTTATTGAATTCCTTAATTCTAGCAACTGTCATCATTAAAAGTTATTAATGAAGTTTTTAAATTCACACGATTAACGCATTTGATAAAACATTTTCCATCTGTAGGTATGTAACCTTCGTATTCATTTATCTTTTTAAGTAGATCAGTTCCTCTACAAACTCTCGATCTTTTTATTTCTTAGAAATTATCTTTCATTAAAATTATTTCTCCTGTAAAATACCAATCGTAAGCATCGGATTTTTCGTCCATATTTGAAAAAATGTTTTGAAAAGTTTTGGCATTGAAAGCGAGGAGTGACATGTATTGTCTTTGATTCCCTTCCTCGAATATCTCTCCATCTATTTTAATTTGTCCTTTGAATGTTTTAAATGTGGTGACAATAGCCTTGATAACATTGGAAAATAGAACATTTTCAATGAATGTTTCATCGTCTATAATTTCAATGCTATCCATATTTTTTTTAAGTATAGATTTTGTTATCATCTTAAAACCTCTCTTTTAACAGGTGTATTTCTTTCATTTCATGTGGAAAAACGCTTTATGATATCAAAAGATTGACTTATGTAATTTTTGGAGAGATTCGTGGAAAATGGTAGATTTCTCCAATAAAGACTTATTGACTTTTACCTTCAAAAAGTCGAATGAAATAATCATTATGAGATTAATTTGTTTTTTTTTTTTTTTTTGCAATGATAAAGTAGTTTTATCTTTTTCAGATATTGAAAAAAAATACTCAAAAATGCGTTATATCTGAAAAACTGCGTATTCTCAGAAGTCTTCATATCTGAAAAATACGCATGTAGAGAAAACATGCTCAATTGTGCTTGATATCTGAAGTGTTATATTAGTGTGGTTTTTGGATAATTTATATGGATAATACAATATGAGTTTAAGGATATACAGTGCGCCATATCCGAAAAAAGGCGATATATCACAAAAAATACTGTATATCGGAAAGCTCTAGACCTTCTGGATATGACGCGCTGTATATCGGAAACTTCATATACTACTGATCTCCATCTGTATACCAAAGGAATCTAACATAATCACTATCAGGTTCAAACAGCTTAATTCTCAAAAAAGCCTTCTCTATCTGAGCGTATCTGTTCCGTCGAAATCTTTGTAACAGTTCAAATAATGGTTGAAGTAAACATGGTCCTGGAGACAGTCGTTGAGAGACGTTCTTCCAGCATTTTAGACTGGACGAAAACAAAAAAAGGTGGCTTAAGTAATGAGCACCAGCTTCTTCCTTCCTAGGCACTCCATCTGGAACTGGTTCAACATAGTTCTTTTCGAGTCGATCTTGAATAATTTTGGAGCATGGTTCCCATAGTTGAAGTTTCAGGAGTCTGTTCTTGACCTGTTCCAATCTGCTGAGAGCAATCGACAGATTGGACTGTAGTGTTGGTCGATTGTCTAACCATGGAAGTGGAGCGTAATACGCTCCGTTACGATACTCTATCTGGTTGATGAATCTCTCTAAAAATTCAGAGTCCGTCTTGTCGTCGAACGGTTCAATACTTGTTTATCTTGTCGTGTAATTCAAAGCCTGTATGATCTGTGGATATCCATTCAACTTCATCATGTCTAGAAGATTCTACCACCAAACATTGCGTCACATGGTCGTTGACTGGACCATAAACAAGATAACCCAAACTGGATGCTTGTACCGTTGGAAACCCGATAATTATTTCCGGTTTAAGGAATTTCCAGACGGAGTCCAAACCAATCAGTATATGAACATCGGAATGGAGTTGTTCGAATCCTAGTAGTAGTGGTTTGAGATGATCTTTATGTGATGATCTTTATGTAGACATTCTGACCATGCATTGCAGCTAATGGGTTGTACAATCTGATCTTTGAATAAAACTTCTAAACTAACAACAACATCATCTGGACTTCGATGGAACCAACAGGGAATTCGTACAGATTGGAACGTCCACCAAAAGAGTCGATTACAATACGCCTTTTACCATATGGAACCAATTTGAGATTTCTGGCATGTTGTGACTTGATATATGTCAATGTTGAACCTTCATCAAAGAAGTTAGTAGTTGGACCATTCTTTACCGGAGCAACAAAACAGTCTTCAGTAAAACTGGGCAAGACTGCAGTTCTGGTAACTTGTAAGAATAGATCTGTGGAGAACTAACATCAAGACAATGTATCAGCTAAACTTTCTGTGCCCGTAAAAGCTGCGTTCGTTGTACCAATCCGTGCAGAAGGTGTAGTTCTTTGTGAGTTCCCTGATGTAGACGCAGACTGTAGTATATTCGAACCATGAATTGCTGTATGATGAGATTCCTTACATATTGAGCACCTCCAATGTGAAGGACAGTTTTCAATAGAATGATAATCTTTAAGACAGTTCATACCCCGATTATGTGACTTGGCAGCTTTGACACGATCATCGACAGAAAGTGTACACTGGCATGTGTTGTGTTGACCACCACAAAATTGACAAAGAGCTGGTCTCTTGAAAAGTTTGGTTTTGAAAGATCTTGAAAATTGAGTGAATGACCTAGCTGTCAAGGCTGTGGCACTACCTCACGGAAGGGTTTGACAGCTGTTGTCGGCTTGCTTGAAACAGTCTTGACTTTCTGTTGACTTATGGTGGTGATCTTCTTCAATTTCTTGATCTCAGCATGTATAATGTCCATAAGCTCCATTAGTAGTGGATTATCATTGGTATATGTCTCGAGAATTGTTGTTAGAACATCAGCTGGAAGCTTTCCCATTAGAATTGGAACGTAGAATTCCCCATAATGGTCAGGTAACAAATGTTACGTCTCCAGAGATCGGATATCACCAATGACTGCATCATAAAATGAAAGATGAAGCATTATACTGTGGTTTCAAGATGTCAACCAAAGCAAGACGAGAATTTTTGATGAGAGTACGATTACCATAATTGTCTTGAAGTGTCTGTACCAACAGAGCATAGTTGTCGTTACTGGCTTAGATAGCCTCAATACGTTTCTTGACAGATGAACTCAGCTGACCTTTCAGATATATCCTTACAGCTATGAATTTCACTTTCGAATACATCCCAAAAGCTGTACCATTTGCGTTCAAATGTAGGAAGTACTATCTTTGGTAGTTTGACAGATGAGTGCTTCGCTGACTTGGTAGCTAATGAAGAATGTTGACTTGCTTTTTCAAGAGACTGTAGGAAGTCATCAATGCGGGCTAACAGCAATGAGTGATTATCTGATATTATATCACATTCTTCAAAATCATATTCAGAGCTCTGATCATCTTTCATTTGAATAAGGAGATCTTGAATTTTGTCATCATATTCTTGAAGTCTGTGTTTGGCATTCACAAGCTTGTCTTTGACAACGTATAAAGTCTCTAAATCAGGCTCTTCACTGTCGATTAAGGCATTCACTCGTCGATCTTCTTTAGTAAACAAACTTCTCAAAGTAGCTCGTTTTCGTACGAATCGGTTGTGGGTTTCGGACAGGTTCTCTGTAACATCTGACGTTTCACCATCTTTTGGCATCTTGTATATGAATTGTAACGTGAAGACGAAGAAAAACAAAAATGGATTATGTTTACCAAAGATCTTCACAAATAATTCGATGCTGACTGTCAATGGTGCGTTTTCGAACGTCTATAGATGAAATGGAATCCTGACTTCTGCCGCCTACGTGTGTTATAAAATGAGAATGAAACTGTAAACCTCTTCCATCTCTCTGTTGATGTATCAATGTAAAAGTTAATCGCCAAAATCCAGCGTTGTTTCTAAATTATTTCTCTTATCATGGCACCAAATTCTTTCTCTAATCACGGCGATGTGTTATTTGTCGTTGCCATGTTGGCAAGCCCTTCAGACTTCCTCTATCTCCAGCCTTACCAGATTTTCCTCTCAATCGCCTTAAACCATTTTCAACGGTTGGTGTCGACTTTACAAGAATGGTGGAAAGAAAGTCCAGAAGTGGTACATTTGTCTATTTACAACACGAAACGTAAACTTGGAAGTTGTAACTGCTGATGAAGAAATAACCAAGGTTTTTTAACTGTTTGGATAAACCAGCTGTACAGAATCATCTAACCAACAACAAAGTTATCTACATGAAGCACATTCCTGCAAAATCTCCTCATTTGGGGTGGAATGTATGAACGGTTGATTGGTGTGGTGAAAATGGTGATCAAGAAGGTGTTACGAAGAGCGCTCATAGATCTGAATGAAATACAGACACTTGTTAAAGAGGTACAGTCTGTTGTGAACGACAGACTACTCACATATGTATCAACGAGTATTGAAGATCTTGAACCAATTACTTCATCAAAACTATTATCCGAGTATTTATCCTGATGTTAAATATGGACTTCATGATGGTTTGAACAAGGCGATGCGACATCTAGCAGCAGTGTTTCACCATTTTGTCAATCGCTTTAAATCTGTCGACTTTACGAGAGAGGCACACCTACCAGTTAAAGAAGACTGTAGCCAGAACAAATCTCATAAAGATTGGGGATGTGGTATTGGTGCATGATAAAGATCGACCCCGAAGTTTATGGAAACTTACTCTTGTAGAGTAGGGTTGAAGAAAACAATACGATTCCAGAATTTCGGTTTGGATTTCAAAAAGGTAAAAGCAAAATAGATGCCATCTTTATTCTACATGGCGTTCTACTGTCTTAAATGACAACAGAAATTTATTTTGTGCTTTTATCGACTTGAAGAAATGTTTCGACAGCATTGATAGGCGACTTCTACTGTATAAATTAACCAAAATTAATACAAAAATAGTAAGCATAATTCGATCAATTTATTCTGATGTTAAAATCAGACACAATGGTGATTATTCTGACTTCTTTAACAGTTATCTAGGTAAACCTTTATCGCCGTTGATGTTTCTACTATTCATGTATGATATTAATGACTATATGCACACTGGGTTTTCAGCTGATATATTCAGAATCAATAGTTATCTTTTATACATTCTTTATTTGCGGATGATACTGTTTTATTTGCAGTCAGAAGTCAGAATCTATGCTACAGAATCTTTTTAAAAAATTTCAGTCATACTGCAACACATGGCATTTGGAAATTAATGCGGATAAGACCAAGATAGTTGTTTTTCAAAAAGGTAATAGTAAAAGTAATTACTCGTTCAAAATTAATTCTGTCACACTAGAAATCGTCAACGAATATTTATACCTTGGCGTTTTGTTGTACAGAAACGGTAAATTTCATGAAACTCTCAATAGACTTACAGATCAAGGTCTAAAAGCACTAGCTTCTTTATTTGGTAAAGTAGGAAATAAATACCTTTCCATTGATATTTTACTTAAGCTATTCGATACATTAGTATCACCAGTATTAAACTATGGTTGCGAAGTATGGGGTTTCGTGGACTCACTATCTTTTGAATATTGAATATTGAACGTTCCAAATTCCACACCAATAAATTTCTTGTTAGGTGAGCTTGGGCGCTACCCTCTTCACATTGTACATTTATATAGAATAATAAATTATTGGATTCGAATTGTTTCAAATAAAAGTGAGTTAATGTATGAAATATATATTCATTTAATGAAACAAGCAAATAATGGTGTTAAAAATTGGGCTTTCAACATAAAATACTGCTTAGATAATATAGGTCTTGTTAATATCAGGACGTTGAAAATTCCAATAAATTACAATTCTATTTTAACTACTTTGAAGTTTTTTCACGAGCAACATATCTAGGAGTACTTAATGATCTAAAATTTAGAAATGTTTTATGCAGATTTAGGGGAGGTTCATTGAAATTAAATATTGAAACTGGACGATACCTAAAGATTCCTAAAGAAAAGAGAATATGCAATTGTTGTAAACTGATCAAGAAAATGAATTTCATTTTATATAGTGTTGCCCACTGTATAGAAAATTAAGGTTTCAATATCTTCCTCGGTATTGCTGGAGTTGGCCATAACTTGTTAAATTTTATAAACTTATAAAAATTAAATCAAATATTAAAATTAAGAATTTATCCAGATACATCTTTTATGCCTGGAAGGGAAAATTTCATAAAGATGAAAAATTTATAGATGCAACTATACTATATGAAATTTCCATTACAAACTATTATTAAGATAATAATAAATTTCACCTTAAAATATTATTCATATTAAAAATGCTATGTTTGGTGTCAATACTTTTTTCTATACAATTTAAATTGTATCTATGTATTAATTGATTTTTATATATCCATATACTTTGCTTCATTATACTAATTGATTTGAATTTGTAATTAATAAGTACTAATCTATGCAATGGCTAATTTATATGTACAAATATTCTTTCCATATCTGTTAATCAAAAAATGTTTTCGTATATTAGATTTTTACAAATTATGTATATAATGTTTGTATATCATGTAATAATAAGTTAATGCACTAAGTTACAATAATGCAAATACATTTTCTTTGCTATTTAATTTGTGTAAATATGTCCAAATATACATTAATTGATTAATCTAACTCAAAAATGGATTCATAATTTTTATTTTACATTTACATGTATATATATTGTTTATTAATAATGAAATATTATATAAATTATTATATTATGCTAAAGCATTGTGTTTCGAACATGTATATGCTAATGCAATAAACTTAATCAATCAATCAGAGGACTTAATCCATGGAACTGATGGTTTTGTTCGTGCTGCGTCAATCCAGACTAAACATGGTGTTACCAATCGCTCTATTCACCTACTTTATCCTTGAGAAGTATCTCTTTCGGAACCAAAGGAATTCTTTACGGACACAAACTCTTCGATTCCACAAGTAGGGATTGTTCCCTTGAGAGGTAGCAATAGACTTGCCATTCGCCCCCGCCCAAATTTGTGGAATCTTCAGAAATTGATTTGTTTATACATTGTTCCATATATTTCGAAAACAATGGTGCCATAAAGAACAAAGAATCCTGGAAGTGAGACAATGCGGTGCCAATATCGGTAAAACAATGGTGCCCAATAGAACAAAGAATCCTGGAAGTGAGACAGTGCAGTGCCAATAATGGTAAAAGTAGCAGGTGCGTCGTTTCCATTGTTTTTTAAACGGATGCGTCGGAGTGTTGTTTTTTTTTTTTAGAGCGTGTTATCGACTTTTTTTTAAAAGTTTGAAATTTGAAAAAGGTTCGATAATAGGCTGATTAACTACGCGTACTTTAGTAGGCATTGGTCAAATAAAGAATCATGAACAGGTGTCTCAGGGGTGTCGATTTTAGAGTAGGGTGGTGGGGAGGGGATAACAAATTATTCTAGGAAAAGAATTTTGAACCGACGATCATGTTGTCTAAGGATTTATGCGTAAAAAACAGTGGAAAAATATCCAAGGTGACAGCGACTCCATGGAGAGGTGATCTCCTTTTTGATATTAGGAGGTTTCGCTCCGAAAATGGATGCGATTACCCCCTCCCTGAAGGTATCGCCTTAAATATGAACCAATGGGTCACTCTGGAATATTATTGTCATAGGATAGAGGAATGGTTAAGTGGTCTGGTGGAAAATAAGACGATCAAATTGGGAGACTGCGTGAGAGTGACCGTAGACAAAAAGTATCGAGGCGTGGACATTCGAAAATTTTATTGGTGTGAGGAAATGCTAAAACCCACCCGAAAAGGGTATCACTTGTGTGTCGATCAGTTTTTCTCGCTCAAGGAATGTTTTGGTGACATTGGCGAATCATTACCTAGAATATGGGAGGAGTTACCCGATTGCAAACACGCGATAGGTTCTGATATCGGTGTTAAAAATTTGCGTTTAGTGTTTAACACCAACACATAACACGACATTTGAACTCATTCTTCGTGTTAATATTGTTATTTGTGGGAACCGGTTCTTTGCTAGGGCGGGAAAGTCAGTTATGAATTCTTTTTAACTGCAGGCCAGTTTCAAAAGGGAGAGAAACCCCCGGTAGAGCGAGAGAGTAAAAGCTGGATGCAAGGCCTATCGCCTTTAGTGTCTCCCTTAGTGTGACGAAGGGAGAGCTCTATTTTTACTGCTTCCCGCAAGAGGTGCCCTATAACTTGCTTGTGGTAGCCAAGCGTTCTTAGCGACGTTGCTTTTTAATTCGCCAAGTGTTGGATTGTTCATCCACCAACAGGGAACGTGAGCTGGGTTTAGACCGTCGTGAGACAGGTTCGTCTACTGATAGGGAACTCTTTATGAACTATCGAACGAACGTTGTGTTAGGGATTGAAAGCATTGATGCTTGCTGGTTTATTGCCTTTGTGTGAGTCGTACTCGGTGGAGCGGCCTGTAGTGGCTGCGATGCAGTTAGACGGACAGAGCTCTCTAATTTATTTTTCTAATTTATTTGTGTGCTAAATTTGAATTGTGTCAGCTGCTGCTGTCTTAAATTATGTACCTCAGGTTGGAGAAATTCGAAAGGAAGGGAGGGGGAGGGGCGGGGAGGTCAAAGAGCAGAGAACGAAACCATGGTCGATGTTTTTGCAGTTAAAATAGATGAGACATCCTCCCCCTTCTGGTATAGTGTGTATCTCTGAGACCGATCGCCGTGCTTAAAGAAATTTTTCTGGTGTGCGTTTGCACAGTATTTCATAATATAAGTTGTATCATGTGTCAAGAATGGTAAGCATGCCCTGCTTGGAAATATATCAATAAATGAGGTATTTCATAATGAAAGTGATATAAGGTGTCAAGAATGGTAAAGCCCCACACCCGAAAATCAACTTAGTGTTATATGCACTCTAAGTAAGGCTAAATTGAACATAGGTGTTCAAGAGGAGTAATCATGTCCTGTTCGCTGTAATGCATGCAACCTGTAAATTTTGACCCAATTCATTTAATTGATTGAAATCGAAGTTAGAATCAGTGGTTAATGATGGCGACAGGTGTGGCTCCAAAGCGTTATATATGGACATCAGACAAGCTGAAAACAATGCTGACAATTGTATTAGAGAATGATGGAAAGTTTGTTAAGCTCCGGAAAGGAGGTAAATCGACAGAATTTTATACGTTTGTTGGTGAACAGATGCTTCCACCCACGGATGGTTCAGTGGTGGAAAATGTGACGAAAAATATGGGCCGCGAGTTTCGTGATATTATCAGGAAAACCAAAGAATCAGGTCAAGGCACAGAAGATGTTGTTCCCAAATTACGTGTAATACTAAAATTTGGACACCAATCGTTGCCGTTGATGATTAATTACACACCGTATTAGATATCATTGATAATTTTTATCACAAAAAATTTGTGTAACGATTGTGAAGAAGGAACATTTTGATGCTAAATCTGGTCCTTTTCTTGCAGCAAATCTGTTTTCTTTCATCTGAGTCATCCTCCATTTTAATTCTGTGGCACTTATAGTTCTCTCTACAATTTGTCTCTGCCGTGTGCGTGTGTTAGATTGCAATTGTTGTTGGGTCAGATTCGCGCCAGTAAATGTGTGCATCACAGATGGGTGTAAATTACGGTAAGCAGGGTCACCTAAAACAAGGACGTCGTTCGGTAGTGTGTGCAGATACTGCATGAATTCAGGAGACCATTCTGCTGCAATTTTATCGTGGGTTGAACCAGTTAGTCCAGATATGACATGTCGAATCCTTCCGAATTTATCACAAACATACTGGACATTAAAAGAGTCACATGATTTTCCATGTCGTCCACAAAAATAAGCATCTCCTGCATGGTGTGGGCGTTGAATACGAATGATATCTTTGTTATTACCATCAACATCTCTAACAGTTGTTAAATCAGCGTATTCCTCCGGGTGTGGTAGTTTAATGAATCTTGGAGCAATGCTCCAACTACATGGACTACAAGGTAGTAGTTTTAGCCACGCCACTGGAAAAACCAACATTTCTGTAATAACCACCTGAAGACAGATATACCAAAAATGTATCCATGCGTTTTTGAGAAACACACATTTGTTTCCTTGCTGGGTCTCCATCTCTAAAATCATGATACTCAGCTGATAACTCATGTTGATTCAACCGGATATGACGTTCAATCGGTTCCGCACTTGTAGCAGGATGCATTTCCAAATTGTCGCCTCTATTTTGTACAGCAATAGCTTTAGCAACCGGTATAAAAAACATTTTAAATGAAATAAAATGGCTGCCAACACCAACACTAAACTTGAACTCATGCTCGTAATAATACCCTAGAGATTAGTGTTAGCGCAGAATTTCTAAATCCATTTTTAGACTTATTTCAGACGGGAATCGATTAGAATTTGAGTACCGATTGTCAAACTGTAAAATAAAACCGATCGCCAAAAGAAATTACATAATTATGCCATTTTTACCCGCAAATAATGTGTTCAGGTAACCCCTGAAATCGTATCTTCGATATTAACACAAACACGAAGGAGAAATCGTGTTAATACGATGCTTAACACATGTTGATAATTTTTATATCAGAGCTAACACGGAACACCAGAATGAGGTCAAGTCTTGCGGACTAACACCAAATAAACCGCGTTAAGAAATAATAAATACGTTCAAATAAAGCTTTAATATAGATCGGTTCTGTGTGATATTTAAAATCAAAGAAATCATACCGATAGTAAGCTCGTGTTACACACTCCGTGTTAATATCCAACTACGGTGTTAGTGTCCAAATTCGGTATTAACACCAGTTGTTAACACTAACACAGTGTACGTGTGCCCTTCGAGATCATCCAAATCCTCACCTAACGACTGGACACTACAGGCAAAAGGCGAAGAATGGTGCTGTGATGCCAAAATATGTATAGAGCAAGCCTACAAGAAGGAATGGGATCAACCCGATTCGTATAGGTGCCAGGTACGAGTGGAAGGAGTGTATATGGAGGGAGCTGGAATGACGCCTACGAATAGTGTTCCTAAATGCAAAATTGGTCACCGTAGAACATTGTTGTCCATCCTTGGAGGTCATAGATTTAGTTGTGTCTATACTTGCTCATATGACAAATGATAATGAAATGAAATAAATGGAGTTTTACGTCCTACTTTTTCATATGACAATGAGAGAATTACAAAATGCATAACTGAAAATTGCATAGGGTGTTGCGAACACATAAACAATGAATTGGTGCACAGCTGCCTAGGGATAATTGAATGTTACAAATATATATATTTTGTTTATTCCCCTCTACACGATTGATATAAGATTTACAACCTCCTTTTACCTGTATGATTGTAGGCCCCACGTAATCGGGCAATTCTCGATTGGTGGTAAAACTGTTTGGTTGAGACATTCGTCTCCGTGCCTCAGAGAATCGTATGGTGTTATTGGGAATGACAGGCTCTATACGCCGAGGATCTAGGTGTCCGGGTAGACTTTGTGGAGGGATTCGACGTGACGATGAATGACGGTGAATCCACTATGATAATAATCGATGATTTGAGGGATGAACGAAAAAGTCTCTAAGCTGTTTACGAAAGGTTCCCACCACAAAAACGCATCCGTTATTTATTTCCTACAAAATCTCTTTCACAAAGGCAAGTATCATTGGACGATTAGTCTAAATACTCACTACATGGTAATTTTCAAAAACCCGAGGGACTCCTTGGGCATAACGCAACTAGCGAAACAAATGTATCCAGGAAATACGCAATACCTCCGTGAAAGTTACAAGGATGCTACGAAAAATCCCTATTCTTATTTGTTAGATTTGAAAAGTACCACGCCCGACTTTTTAAGACTGAAAACCAGTCTATTCCCTTCAGAGTATCCACGGGTTTATTTACCAAAAGGGTGATGGTTGGAATTGACAAACATTTACGGCTACTGAATGCCCTTTCTAACTCTATTGCGAGACAACACAAGTCGATATTAAAGAATACTCACAGAAATATGATTAACGCTCTTTGCGAGTGCACCATGGATGTTTTAAAAGGTAACGTACCGATAACCAGACATCAGAAATCCAGGTTATAATGAAACACAAGAGGAACCTAAGAGAGATAGTTAAACGGAAAACCCCTTTGAAAATTAAGAGACATATATAACTTCTTACGCCTCTTCTAGGAATTCTTGATTCAGTGGTTCCCAAACTTTTAGGTAAGTAATGGATTACGCACGAAAAATGGCATTGGTACCGGAAAATATGGTCGATAAAATAATACGAGGGGGGCGTGATTCGTCGTTAAAACCACCCGCGGTTACAAAAACATTGCAATTGGATGATGAGATAAGGCAAATATTAAACGATCCGTCTATCAACGATCACGATAAAGTTAAGTTAAAGAGTACTTTCGGACAATTTATGCAATGCCGAATATTACCCCATTTCGAATAAAACATCGCCGGATCGGGGGAATATTATTTGGATTTGTCTCAAACCTTTTCCACTGTACGTGTTCGGATAAAAAAAACAGCGACGGTACCGATCTCGTGGACGATGCTCAGTGTGGACTGTTTAGCCAAAAGTTTATTTTCTCAGATTGACGTTTCGTTAAATGGAAAACGAATTTCTCAACCAGAGAAATAGGGGTTACATAGAGAATTTATTGAATTTCAATGTCGACTCTCAAAAATAGCGATGCGATCGTAATACGCCCACATTTGTAATGGCAGCTAATTTGTCAGATTACAGTAAATGAATGTTTCTGAGAGTGAAATTTTCATATTTCATGGGTTTTGTTTACAGCTTTTTATTCAAGTGGGATTAATTAATTAATAGGGACGGGCATGTGTTTTTAGGTCATACTCCCCGTCGAGTTATCGTAGGATTTAAACACTTTAAATTTAATATTTTTGCTTCACATCAAAAGCCGAGCCTAGTAATAGTGACGTTATGTCGATTCTGAAAGCCATTCAGGAAAACCGAACTGCTCAGAACTCTCGTTTCGATAAATTATCCAGAAAAGTTGATGAACTTAACAATAATATGACAGTTATGACGATTATGATGAAAATGAATTTATTAGGCTACAATGATGAAGAGTATTGTGATGATGATTTGGATGTTTTACCGGGGAAAAAGCCAAAATGTCATCTGATATGGAGTTATCTGACTCAATTTTTGCACAGGCGGAGAAAAAGTTGAAACTGAAAGATTTATGTGATGTTCAAATAAATCAAGACTTGGCATCTTTGATAAATAACTGGTTCAGAGATGGTGTAGATGATGATAGGTATAACGAATTGATAAACTGTGAGTCTTTAGTGACGGCTAAAACTAATCAATTAGTGTGGGATTTTCTTAGCCAGTATACACGTACGATGGACAAGCGAATACAGAATGCTCAAACTTCCATTATTAAAGGAGCAGTTTCGTTGTCTAAAATTACTGACACTCTTGGTAGTGGACAATCTATGGATGTGAATCATGTTCTGAAACAAGCAATGGAGTCCCTAGCTCTTTTTGGACATGCCAATAAACAATTATGTTTTATTCGTAGAGACATGATGAAACCCGATATGAGGGGCGAGTATTTACATCTATGTAGTCACACAGACATTCTGTTTGGTGATGATGTTTCCAAAACTGTCAAGGATATATCTGATTGCTCTCGTATAAGTAACAAGATTGGTGCTTTTCAAGGCCGCGGAGGATGAGGAAGGTCTATCCGTGGTAGAGGATTTAGAGGAAGATTTAGATATAGAAAGGGGGCACCTTTGTATAATTTATAAAAAAAAAATCACTTTTTTCCTGCAGCGCCCGCAAGCCCACCAAACTAACAACCCCACCAGGCACACAGTTAATAAATCCGGAGCCTATAGGGGTACAAGTTTACCAACCTCCAAGCGCCCCCGGCCAATAATATCTTTAAATTAACTCATTTAAAAACACGAACAACACAAATTCGAAGGAGACGGTTTCTTCTCAGCTCTATCATCTCTCATCCCAACAACAAACTGAATTAGCGATACATCTAGAACATCTCTATTGTGACAATTCGCCCTGAACCCGGAATGTTGACAAATGCACGGCTGCATCTCCTCCAGAGCTTTATGTTCTATGTCATTAACCTGTTTACAGCAAAGGCTCTCAAGTGTTGTTGGCATTTCTCTACACAATCCACAAAGGCAGCTATTTAATAAGTAAAATCTATATTTCACGATGGACACATTCAATCAATGTTTACCGAAATACGGACTGAGTCTAGTCTCTGACGTCCAGACTAACCCCATCTACGTCGAAGCTGTACGTAGAAAAATAGAGACTGGATGGTAGAGGCTACGTATTCACCTAGGTGACCGTTTGACCCGCACGGCCATATTGACACTGACGTTATGTGATGATAATAATAGGCCTTCTGCGGTCTGGAGATATATCCAATATGCTTATTTCTTTTTCATTTTCTTTTGAAATGGATATCAATGAGCTTCTGCAATGTTAATTATCATTGCTTTCAACCTGATAGTTTATGGTGACGACTGTTTAAACTCTATCCACTTACCATCTGTAGTACCGATTCGGGCTTTTGTAGAAAAAGAATCGGTTTCGTCGTCTGAGAAATCGGAATTGTCAGAGCTTCCAGAGCTATCATAATATTTTAGTACTAATCGTTTGTCTTCCACAAGCGGCTCAAACTGATATGGCTGGATATTTAGGTCGAAATTGTTGGATTCCATGGCAGTAATGAAAGTGAAAGATCGATGTATGCAAGGCTTCAACTATAGACGGCAGGCTGCCAGTCTATCGAGTGTCGTCTATGACTGCTAGCCTAATTAACTCTCGGCTGGAAAGCGACCAGAGTCAGAAATCTAAGGTTTTTGTCAAAAATATTGTTCTGGGAGACATTTTTAAGCCCTTGCCAATGATTATAGGTAGAAATCATTGTAATTAAGGGGAAATTTTACGTCTTGGCATAAATCCTTTAACAGATTTGCATACGAGATATGCTTTGTTCCTGAGCTATAAGTAGACAATATTCTAGCAGTTACCATTACTAATTTTGTCCAACTATTGTTTCAGTTCAACTATTGGAACGATATTTCAAATTCTGACAGCTAAAACTTTTGCATTTCTCACGTGGAATTTCTTCAATTCAACATCTTCACTGTTGACTGGAATGTAAGTAGGTGTTACAGGTCAAGTGTTTTCTGCTCTCTGAAGGAAGTCAGGTCCGTCAATAACTCGTTTCATTTCACTGGCTTGTACTCCTCTTGATACTAAGTCGATAATATTCTGATCAACAGGAACATACGATACATCTTTGTACGGGTCAAAATCTGTTGTAATTTCGCAAACACGATAAGCAATGCTATCAGTCCACATTTTAACGTATTCGATTCTAAGTCTTAAATCGTTGATAACAACTAACATCAGTCGGAATAACTACAGAAGAGCTTGCAGTTCTTTGTGTGGTAAACTAAATTGCTTCACAGGCGTAAGTCTAGCTTTAGCACAAACAAATGTCAACTCGGCATTTGATTCGTCTTCATTGGACCATCTCATCCAAACTCCTATGCCTATTGCATCCTCCGAGGCATCACTAAAACCTGGAAGCGACATTTTATGTAGTTTAGATTGTCCTTGAAATTTATCAGGAATTAAACAGCGTTTGGTTTCGATTAAAAACACATCTTGAAGATCTTTCTTGATCTTATTGAACATAATATATAAATCACTATTAGGGTGAATCGGATCATCCCAGTTAATGTCATACTGTCGTACTAATATTCCTGATAACATACCATAAACGTCGTAATACGAAGCAGTCATCTTGAGAATATTACGTTTTGTAGGAACAAAATCTTTAAATAAAACTTCTTTTACACTTGAGAGAGTCTTATTTGATAACCATTTGCGAATTTTAAAATTTCCGTTTTTTTTTAGGTAGAAGTAAGATTAGATTTTAATCGTTAAGCTTCATCAGTTAACCTTTGCGAATCTGTGAGATCGTCGACATAAAATTGATTGTTAGCGATTCGCTGAATTTCAGGAGCGTTTTCAGCAGCAACAGGACGTAAGGCAATAATGGCTGAAGAAGGTGATGGTTTATCTCCAAATGTAACTGTTGTTAATTCGTACACGTTGATTGGGTCTTCTGGATGCTTACGAAATAAATAACGGTGAAATCGAGCATCGTCGGGTGCCATCTTTACAGCTTAAACATTACTAATGTCAGCAATAACACCAACTTCATAATCACAGAATCGTAAAGCTATATCAAATAAATCTACATTCATATTATGAATGGCTAAATAATCATTTAAAGAGTGACTTTGGAATCTAGCTTTACCACCATAAACAACTCGAACTGGCGTGGTCTCTGAATCTTTAAGAACTCCAAAATGAGGTAAAAACACCTCTAGAAACTTGATCATCCATTTATTTGCAATAAAATTCCCATTACGTGGACGGTTTTGAAACTGTTTCTCCAAATTGATTAAACGTTTGACAGCATAATCGTAATTATTTGGTAATTTTAACTGCGATTTCTTCCAGGGTAAGTTAATCTGATAAATACCATCTTCTAATCTAGTAACGCTATTCTGCATCTGTTCTGTAGCTAATTTCTTTTTGGCGTTTATTGCACATTTGCAACGTCGAGGTTTAATTCCCATCCGTTCAATGCCGAGAAAATCTTCAATTTCACTTACGGCAGAAACCTGCATAAAGTTCAAAATGTTATTTTTAGGTGTTTCGTTATATCGACCTCCTTGAACATACCATTCGAAAGGACATCTAACTGCGACAGGATCATCCTCGATAGGGCCTATTAAGTATTGTTCTGAGGTAAGTAAATCTCCATTTTCAACTCCAAGTATAATGTCTATTGTTTCACTGGAAGCTTGTTCAATTTCAATATTGTCCATATGTGGATATTGTTTAATCTGCGAATTGGTCACTATCGGTATCTCTCCACAAGGTTTATCCATTTCGTAAATGCAATGCTTCATCTAAGCTCTTAATATCACAATCTACAACACGAAGTCTATGTGTCTTAGTCGCACCACCAACAGTAGTCTTGTGTTTGACCATCAAATTTCTTTAATAACCCTTTTCGTTTACAGCGTCTAAATTAGAAGATAAGATAACAAAACAAAAATAGACCTTAAACAACTAATAGATGATGTTAAACCAGGTATAAGTGAAGACAGCTGCTCTAGAAACTAAATTTAAAACCGAATTACAAAAAGAACTTTTAATCAACTGATACAAAATATTTATGATAGTGAGATTCAAGAACAGATAACTACTATTAATAACGAAGTTTTAAACAGGAAAAAAATATAGCCACATTAGAAAAACATCTCAAGGAAAATAAAAAATCATATTATTTCAATCTTCCAGTTTTTCGTGTGAGAAATACTGAACGTATTCCTACAGGTGAAACAAGGATATGGATTTATATTAAAAATAAAAGTATTTTCATATAAAAGTGGAAACGTTAAAAACATATTTGATGATTCAGGAAACTTTAATTTCCGAGGTAAATCTCTAATTGAAATTATTTTTCCTGTAAAATTTAAAATCGATTCAATCTTCTTCTCTCATCCATCTAACTATTTTAACGAATTTATCAAAGATATGAATATGTTGAAAATATAGATTTGGAAGTTAATGATGAAAACAACAAGCCTAATCATATGAATGAAATTAAAACAAATGGAAAATATATAAACACCTTTAGATTGTCAATAATACCAGACAATGACAACTGTATTCTTTCAATAGGTGAATTTGATATGATATTAAAGACGGAAAGCTCACCATCGATGAACATTATTAGAAAATCAACTCCACAAAGAATTTATAATATTTTCATCAATAATTGAACGTCATGAAGGAGATAGTAATAAAGAAGTTGGTGGTATATGTACTTGGAGGTGTAGTATAGAGATCAATATTGACAAAAAATTTTTACAGTTCATCTAAATAAGATTAATGATTCGAAAGAAGAAATATCATTAGCATCTGTAAACGTTACTATTTATCCACCCGAAGAAATGATAACAGATAAACGAAAAATAATAGGAGGAGGTAATAGAGATTAAAGGGTTCCCTATTGTAAATATTGAACAATATCCATCTTTTTCTTTATCAGAAACTCACTTAATTTAATGTCTTAAAAATGAAAGTGGAAAGTAGACAACAATATATGATAGACAAACGAGTTAGAAGTAAAACTAGAACAGTATAATAAATGTAAGAAAAGATGGATTAGAGTTGATTCTGTTTTCAAAACACTGAGTGTACTTCTAACAGTAGGAACAACAGTTGCAACGGATTAGTGGTTCCAGTACTTGTCCCAACTGTATTGGACACAATTACTGCTATTAAAACTTCATCTTGTGGGTTGATTGCTATAGGTTATACATCAAAACAGAAATCTTATTATAAAAAGAAAACAGAAATTTTGAATTCATATCTTAATAAATTATTTATATTTTTCGAAAGATCAAGATATAAGATAAGAACGTAACTATTGAAGAATTAGAAGAATTCAATGAAATTCTAGAAAAATTTGAGATGGAAATATCAGCAATAAAAGTTTAAAAAAATACTTAAAAATAGATCATTAAAAAAAGCATATATAAAAAAAATATGAATGAATCAATTGAAATTAATGATGATGAAAGATTCATAGAAAACGTGTTATTTTCAAATATTATCAAGGCTGTTAACAATAAATTTTTAACATTTAAAGGACAACTTGAAATAGGTGGAGTGATATTTCAAGATGGAAAGCACAAACAATTTATGAAACTTCTTGGTTTTAATGCCAAAACTTTTCATACTATCTTTAGAAATATGGAAGAATTGTTACATACCAACATGTTTTAAACAAAGATTTAACAAATTAATTTCAAAATTTCGTCAATGGTTTCTCAAAAGCAAATAGGAAAGGAGTGATGACATTTGCTAGAATTAATGAATTCAATAAGAAATGTGATATTACATTTCAAATTTATACTCATAATAATAGAAATTTGCGCCCCACAATTGTAAAAGAGGAATTAGATTGGGTTTTATACTTACACAACTCATATTTCTGTCTTATAAGAAGAAATAAAAAAAGTTTGGGTATTAAAAAAATAGAAGATAATTATGAACAAGTATGGAAAACGTGTAGTAATAGTAACGCAGTAACACAGGTTTCACCTCTGAAACTAAAAGTGTTTTCAAGTATACGTGATGCTGGGTTATTTGCTTGGGATTGTGAAACATATTCAGAAAGTGAAACGCGTAAAGCAATTCCCTTATGCGTGTACGTTAATTAATTAAGAAAAACTAAGAAAAATGTTAGACAGAATAAATAATCCCTTTCCAGATTTAAATCCTACAGATAATGTTCCAGAATAATTTTATGATAAACTAATGAATATAGTAGAAATATTTGTAGGTACATATTGTATAGATCAAATGTTGAAATATTTAGGTTAATTAATATTAATTTCTCATAACGGTAGCAATTTTGATAACTGGATCGTGCTTAAAAATATGAAAAAACTAACACAATGCCCTTTAAATAATAATTATTTACAACATATTAATTTCACATGTTCCTATCAACATGAAACATCTAGTTTAGCGGCATGGGGAAATATATCTAATCTACCGATGAATTTGAGAAAGATCCACCGATATTAATATTGCAAAATACAATAATTGAACGTCATGAACGAGATAGTAATAAAGAAGTTGGTGGTATATGTACTTGGAGGTGTAGTATAGAGATCAATATTGACAAAATATTTTTACAGTTCATCTAAATAAGATTAATGATTCGAAAGAAGAAATATCATTAGCATCTGTAAACGTTACTATTTATCCACCCGAAGTAATGATAACAGATAAACGAAAAATAATAGGAGGAGGTAATAGAGATTAAAGGGTTCCCTATTGTAAATATTGAAATATCCATCTTTTTCTTTATCAGAAACTCACTTAATTTAATGTCTTAAAAATGAAAGTGGAAAGTAGACAACAATATATGATAGACAAACGAGTTAGAAGTAAAACTAGAACAGTATAATAAATGTAAGAAAAGATGGATTAGAGTTGATTCTGTTTTCAAAACACTGAGTGTACTTCTAACAGTAGGAACAACAGTTGCAACGGATTAGTGGTTCCAGTACTTGTCCCAACTGTATTGGACACAATTACTGCTATTAAAACTTCATCTTGTGGGTTGATTGCTATAGGTTATACATCAAAACAGAAATCTTATTATAAAAAGAAAACAGAAATTTTGAATTCATATCTTAATAAATTATTTATATTTTTCGAAAGATCAAGATATAAGATAAGAACGTAACTATTGAAGAATTAGAAGAATTCAATGAAATTCTAGAAAAATTTGAGATGGAAATATCAGCAATAAAAGTTTAAAAAAAATACTTAAAAATAGATCATTAAAAAAAGC